TGTCAGGATACGCTTAACAATTAAAAAATGTAATGAGCAGGTTCTAGTGCCTTTGGTGAGCTTCATCTACTAGTGCAGAAATTATCTAAAAAAATTTCCATCAGGACTTGTTAGCTCAGAGTTGGATCCACGGGGATTTTTACACATTTCTCCTCTTCAGCTCTGGTACAACACCAAAATCCTATGTACAGTCTGCTGCTGCAGGAGCAAAGAACTAACAAATGGGAAATAATTGAGAAGAGAGCACTGGAGTGACTGAAAAGGCAGGGAGACCAACTTGTGAAGAGGAGGATAACTGCTAGCATTTGAAGAGTTTAAAAGCCAAAGGGGAAGAAGAATTATTTGCAAGGTCCAGCAGAGTTTCACTAGGTGTAAAAAGCCGAGAATGAGAAAGGATCTTTAGCAAGAACAGAGGGAAGCATTTCATCAACACCGAAGCCTGCTGGACCGTGAAATAGTCTCCCGAAATAAATGGTAGCAGTCCTGCAGCTCGGGTCATTTTAAATTAGACTGGGCAGGATACTGGAGCTGGTTCTTTAGGGAACAACTCAATACCAGTCCCAGGGATGGCCATGTCAACCTGGCAGGCAGCTCTGCAGCTCAGGATAATTAGAGTCCCCAAAGCTGTCATGAGGAGAGCTTGACACTCGTTCACGGGTGGTGCTTGTCATCATCTTGTGTTATTTATACATTACTCCGAGTCAAAAAGTCTCTGTGAAGAGACAGGCAGAGCCCTCATAAGTCAGAGCCCTGGACTATTGAAGCTGATGAAAGGTATAAAATAGCTTGCACTAAACCCTCTAAACTGCAACCACCGGTGAGAGATTTTACCGAAAACACCCCTCAGCAAGAAACAATACGTAGTAATGAGGGAACAAGGAACATGTTTGAACTAACAAACACGTTCTGACAGACTCTGTGGGGCTCGCTTTTTGTTTTATTTTTATTGTGTTTCATTTTCTGTCTGCCTACAAAGGCTTGAGTGACAGGCAGGGAGGCTGGCATCTATCACTTCTCTTCAAAACACGTAAGGAACAAACATCAACATTTCTCAACAACGACACAGAGGGAACAACCTCTCCTAAAAATAACAGCATTTCCCTCACACCTGTTGCCACAACCTATCCATCTCTCCTCCTTTTTTGCCAAGGGATGCATCAACTAAAATGCAAGTTGCTGGGATGTGTTTTGCCTTCTTCAGGATACCATGGAATCCCAGATTGTTTTGGTTATTTGTGTAAGATCATCTTGTTCCAACCCCTGTGCCATGGGAAGGGACATCTCTCCCTCTCCAAGGCAGGAGAACACCCACTCTGGGGAAGCAGAGCATGGGGATGGAAAACTGCTGTGAGAGAGGAAAAGGGCTGATGGACCATCTTGAGAGAGTTTTTCCTCATTTTCCTTTCTCATCACTGCTGGGGAAGGTGTCTGCATGGGGAGGATCACGGGAGGCTTTCTGAATCAACACAGCAGATTTAAAATCTTTTTTTATAGGTCTTTCCAGTCACCAGCTGAAATTCTGTGAAGCTTCCCATTCAGTGCTTATCCATTTCTTCTCAAACTTTTATCTCCTCCCATTTTTCAGACGACCACAGGTGCAAATGAAAGGCACGGGATGGTAAATTATATATATTATATATATATTTGCTGTGACAGAGCTTGTGCCAGCACTCAGCACTGACAATGCACATTACAGTTCAGCTCATGTATTTCTGATGGCACATTTTACAGTGCTATATATAAAGTTGTTATGGCATCTATTATTCACTGCCAATACAGTTCAAGTTAAAATAGGTTTTATATAACAGTTCAAAGCAATATTTTAAGAAATAACACTTGTGTCAAGGCTGCGGTGTCCTACCAGATTTTGACATTTCCAAGCAATAAAGATCTTTATCCAAAATGTAAGGTTTTGGCGAGACATCTCCCTTGCAGACGTCTCTGGTTTTAATCTGCAAGCAGTAGCAAAAGGAGCACATTTAAATAAAATGAACAGCCAGGTGAACTTTTGACTTGGCTGTTATCTGTCTAGGTGGAAACTGTGAACTGCAAAGTGCCTCGAGGGATGTTCCTGACAGAAAACAATGTCCCATTAACCTGAACCTCTGAAGAGATTTTGGAGATGTGGAAAACACACAAGTGAGAAAAAGTCATTGGAACATTAAGAAAATGTTTTTTATAGGCACAATTTTATATCTGTTTTTCAGGACACAAGACGAGAAAAGAATTTATGTCCTTATTTCTTCAGCAACAAAGAAGGTTTTTCTTGTAAAAAGGGCAAATTTTGTGTCTCTTAAAAAAAGCCCCACCACTGGTACCAGCACCATAAGCTTCTCTAAAGTTGTGTGCAATCAGAAGATGTGATGTTCTTTGAATGTCTCCTGTGCTGCTCAAAATCTGCATGTTTCTGGTGCTGGATATGGAAATCCCAGCGAGACCAATCTACTTGCACACAACAAGTTCTGCACAGCTCTCCTCTTCATTCTGGTCCCCAAAGAACAAAGGACAACAAATGCTATACATCAAATTGACAATAAATTTAGTTTATTAGTTATGTTTGACAGTTAGGAATAATGTGTTATTTTAACCTTATTGGCTACTCACTGGCTATGAAAATATACTGGAAAAAGTTGTTGTGGTGACTGTGAGCTCAAGGAATCCACAATTTCTACTGAAAACAGTGAAGTTTTAATGTGCAAGACAAGTTCTTTCACAAGAAATATGCTCATGTGGGTCAACAAACAGAAAAGCAAAACACAGTGAAAATTATTTAAAAGCACCATCTGCTTATTCAAATACAGCTGGGGAGAGGAACAATGCTGTCCAAAAAAACTCATTTTCATTATATTTCTTTCAAAAGAGATGTTAAACAAAATACCATCGGTCCTAAATGTTTTCCCCCTGAGGAGAAATGTTTAAGCTACATTTGAAATAATGTTTGTGGAATGCAGCTCTTGTTAGAGGATGAACAGGGATCTTAGAGAGCGAAGCAAAATGGATAGAGGAGATGGGAAAAAACAGGAAAAAAAAAAGTGCACACATTCTCAGGATGCAAAAGCCTAAACAAAATTAATTGCTTAAGCTGACTAAATCATTAATTGCATAAACTAAGCTATTCAGAGGTAAATTCATATTAGGTAGAAAGGTATCCAAGATCAAATCAATTGATACAAACCCTGCACAACACATGAACATAGATTTTTAATTTTTTTTAAGTTATTTAGGATTGTGATTGGGTTCATTTCTCCCCCCTCAACCACCCCACCATGGCCACACAGTCCTGTGCAACTTGGTGTGGAGACATCAGACTGTGGCACAGAAATGGGATTTAACCAGCAAACTAAATAAAGATCTCTCCAAGGAGACACAACTGTACATCTTGGCTTTCCAAAGCTGGTGTGCTTGAGGCTGCCCTGGGGGTTGTCATTCCCCACTGCCTAATGGGCAACCACTAAATGTGGGTTTTTTTCTTCCCTGGGGAGGACAGGGGCAATGTAAAGACAAACTAAAGAAGGCTCAGACTGTATTTAAAATGAAAAGGATCACAAAATCACAGAACCACAGAATGGCTGAGGTACCAGAGTGTGGCCATCTGGTCCAACATCCCTGCTCAAGCAGGGTCATCCCAGACAGCACAGCACAAGGTTCTGCTCAGATTGCTCTTGTATCTCCAGTGAGCTGGTGGTGCTGTTCACAAGATCATTTCGGAAATACATTTGCTACCATCCTTCCTGAACATCAAAGCACAGGAAAATACCAAAATATGGTGGTTTGTTTTTTTTTTTGCCTCAGAGTTCCCTGCAGGACGAACTGTAGTTTTCCCTAATTTGTCCTGCTGAAAGCACTGAGATCCCTCGAAGTGCAAAATGAGAATTCACAGTGGAAGATACTCAGGGTGAGAATTTTCTCTGAGAGTTTCACCCTTAGTAATGGACACAAGTCCACAAAGCTCATCCATGGCTGCTCAGTGAACCACAACAGAAATTAGACAAACACTGACCTCGACCTGCTCCTGTAAAACTGTCAGAATTTCTGACTTGGAGAGTTGAGACATATGTGGCCACCACTGTTTGCTAACAGAGGTCCCAGCCTCAAAGCACCTGCCCCCAGCAGGAACTTTAGCCCTCTTTTTGCACTGTTAACTCAGCCATAATTCCTGCTGTACTGCAACCCAAAATCTATCCTGATAAAATTAGCCCAATCCAATTAAAGGACAAAGTATAGCCCTTAATTAAATGTTCTGATTATTCTGAAGCCCTCTTTTCTTGGTTCATCTTGAGTTTAGGTCTGGAAAAGCATACAAATTAGGAAGGTCTATCATGTTCTTGTTTTACCCATTTATCGCTTAAATTTAACTAACAAGATTTTCCCAAAAGCGTAAAAAGGGAAGTATAAAAAGAAAAATGTGGGATGTCTAACTTATTCAGGCCTCTTTTTGTTCCTTTTATTGCATATTTTTACAGAGCTTCTGAAAAAAAAAAAAAAAAAAAGGGAATAAAAATAGAATGTCCTCTTTGAACTACATCAAGAAAGTCCAGATACTTTGATACAGCAAAAATATTGAATAATTAGAAAAGGTTAACAAGTTATTTCCTTTTGTCTACCTGTTATTCTCTCTAATGGTAAAGCTGAGTGTTTTTTGCCTGTGACAAATTCCAGTTTCAGTTTTGCATGCACTGAAGGAGTTGTTTTGCTGCAGAACCCAGCTCAATTAAAGCAGCTCACCACCAGCTCTGCTGTGGAAGACTCACTGGGAAGAACCCAACCATCAGCCCATGAACACTAATTAACTCTAGTAATTTTCATCACCAACCATACAGATTTCCAACTTTTTCTTCTATCACTGATTCCCATCTTTAGAAATCCTTAAATTTCCCCCGTTTTTAGCGACGCTGTACTGGCAGCGATGTAAATCAGCATTTCCTTCGTGTTGAGCAAGGCACAACACAAGGATTCTGCACTTCCAGCTCCCAAAACCGTGGTGGGAGGAGGACACTGACCTCAATTTGCTGAATGGCCTCTTCCCGCTGGCGGATGGCTTCCAAATCTTCCTCTGTGATTTCTGAGAGCAAGGCTTGGTCCTGGCCCTGGCTCTGCCACACGCCGTCGCCTCCGTTAAAGATCTTCTCATCATCAGGCAGGTCAGAGAAGGGGGTCTTAGGGCTCTGCTGAGGGGGGAGAATGGAAGGAAAGCAAAGGAAGTGTAAATGTTTTCCAGTTTTACACAGCTTTAGTGTGAGGAAAGAAAAGATTAATATAACAGATGGCACAAACAGTGATGTAAAGGTAAAGAGGAGAGAAATAAATTGCATGAGAGGAAGCATTTCAAATCTCAAACCAAATGTTAGGACCTGAAGTCAGATCTCCTGAGCTACTTTTGGGCCCCAGCAACCAACTTCAATTTTCCACAGTTCTGACAGAACAAAATGTAGATGTGCAGCTGAAAATAATGCATTTCTCTTGTTTGATTTCCCTGAAAATTCTTCCAGAATTAGACACTTTCACAGGCACAGAGAAATCATTTGAGAGACTCATTTGTTTTGAAGACTTTATGATCCAGCTTGCAACATTCAAAATACAAAGGTTACAATCTTCTCCATTTATGAGATTAACAGCACAGATTAAGAGAGGGGAAATCACTGCAGGGATGTGAGTGCAGAGTGATCAGCCTGAGCAACTCACAGGTTTGTGCTGCTCACTCTGTGGAGCTGACCTGGTTTTTCTGACACATCTGATCACAGTCACAGAATCACAGAATGGTTGGGGCTGAAATGACCTCAAAGATCATCTCATTCCACCCCCTCCCATGGGCAGGGACACCTTCCACTATCCCAGGCTGCTCCAAGGCCTGGAACACTTCCAGGGACGGGGCAGCCACATTCTCTGGGCACCCCATTCCAATGACACACCACCCTCTGATGAAAGAAATTCTTCACAATATCTTATTTAAATATCTTATCTTTCAATTTAAAATCATCCACCCATGGCCTATCTGCCTGTTTAATAAACTTCTCTCCCTCTTTTTTAAAAGCCCCTAGCTTGTTTTATTAAGCCCCATTGTAAAATGCCCCAAGACACCACTTTCTTCTATTTTTGGAGTTGCATTTATGTTCAGGTCCAGATTTTAAAACCTTGTTCAAGAACCTGTTGGATCTGCACAGGAAGTAGGGGCAGAGGTTTAACAAGGTGTTTTCCACCCAGACTTTAAGTTCTGTGCCTGTGTCAGGTTCAGTCCTGACTGGATTTGAAGAATGAACTGACCCAAGGTTGGTTTGGAGGCTGAGCTCAAGCTCCAAACTAAGAGGTTGAAGGCTCCAACCTTGCAACTGCATGAGGATCCAATTTCAAACAATGCTCATGGTCCTCTAACTTGGTCTTGAGCTGAGCTTTGACTCCTAACCAAAAGTTACAATAAAATAAGCAAGCCAAGTGCTTCTGGTGCTCTGAAGCTGAAAGAAGAAATGGTGGTGGCACACCTTGACCTGGACTTAAACGTTGTCAAAGCCTCTGAAAGCTAAAGGAGAAAACAACTACTCAGGGGGGGATGTTCAGTTCTCTGAATCTGGGTTTATCTGAAGCCCAAAAACTGGGAGTTGTGCCTGAAAAATAAAAGCCTCTGCTTTGCTTTTGTCTTACTGAGGCTACATCTTCAAAAGTATTAATTCCCCTGAATTGCCACAGCATGAACAGAAAGTGAGGTCGTGGGGAATTTAAATGGAAGGGCACGGACTGGAGAACTGGAAGGGCTGGGAGGACTTGAGTCTGGAAATGTTTCTTTAACTCTCTAACTCTGCTTTAACTCATTAAAAAGTATGCAATTCCTGTATTTAGAAACAAAATAATTTTTGCATTTGCCAACACTTAGACTTCTTCTTATGAAATTAATTCATTGTTATTGTTATTATCACCATACCTCGCTGGAGATAAGGAAAATAACACAAGGTGGTGAAGGAAGTGGGATGATGGAAAAAGTAGAAGAAAATAGGAAAATCAGCAGCAAACAGACAAATACCTTTCAAAATATGAACAGAAGACTAAAATCTTTTACATTAAGGTATTTTTTTCACCTTCTGCTTTCCAGGGATCTACTGAGAAAGGGTGTGTTACAGAAGGAAAATCATTTAAAATTAGGTTAAAGATTAATTTACACTTTATAGGACATATTTTAATAGGACTAAGATACTCTGGGGGTGTTTTATTCACTAATTATTATGTGCTTTGGACACTAACTTCCCTGGCAGAGTGTTTCAGCGCCAAAAGAGTGTATTAATGGACTCAGGAAAAAAAAAATCCTTGGGGTATTCTAATACTTCATTTAGTGACCAGTGGGCTCAGATGAGCAGAGGCAAACTGCACATGGCCAAGTGGGCTGGAAGATCCCAAGAATCCGCCTCATGGAGACACAGGAAAAGTGTTCTGATGAAATTTGTGTGCCCTGGTCACAGCAAGGATGCTGCACCAAGGACCTCAGTGCCTACAAATGGACACCCAAAGCCATGCTTGCCCGGTGGAGGTCTGAATTTCAGTGGAAAACAACAAATTTACAAGTGTTCAAATGTTTCCTGTTCTGATGTGGGAGCACAGGGATAACAGGAGAGGCAGCAACCAGCTCTTCAGATTGGGTTAGTCCATGGAATAACACAGCTGTACTGTAAATATCCTTTATCTTGGCCTGTGTCAACTTTATTTGTCATCTTCACTTGCTGGGCCTGGTATGTGTAAATAACACGTCCCTCCTGCAAATTACTCAGAAAACACATTGCAAGGGCTGCTGCTCAGCCATCTTTTAGAAGAAAACCAGCAATCCATGTGTTTAAAAAGGTAAAGGTCTAGACACAGATCTTTTTCTCTAAACAAAGTAGTGACCTAAGTTAATTTCAGAGCTGCTGAAGGCAATTAAATGTGTTTGCATCCTTAACATCCTCCGAAAAAATCCAACCATGGCTGCTGAATGAGTAAATCAGTGAAACAACAGGATGCAGAGGGGCTGATATTTCCTTCCAGATGTAAAAATGGACTCCATAATAATGTTAAATACAGTCACCATGACCTGCTACCAGAGTCTGTATGCTGTGCTAACAAATAAAAGTGATTTTGTGCTGTCCATGGGACTGAGACCCTCATTTCTGTGATAAAGTGAAAAAATCTTAAATCTAAAACTGTGAAGAAATCTAATCACTGCTAATGCTTCTGATTGAAAGCTGCATATAGCTGGGCTTATCAGTGCTCTTCATTCCCTTCTGAGTTATGTTCATTGCCATGTCTGACAAAACACTTTATTTATAGCAAGGAAAGATCAGATGGAGGGCACTCGCTGAGCCTCCACAGATAAAGTTCCCTTTGACACTGCACTGGAAGAGGCCATAACTCCCTGTGCAGACATTTCCACAATAAATTTGATTTAGTGCCAAATTTTATGCCCTGCAAATCTCTGTGTAATTTTCTGTCGGATTTCCTTTCATAAATTGTTAATTGGATATGTTTGAAGTTGTTCTTTTGTTGAAATTTGCCTCTGGCAGATTTTTGTCAAGATGTATCTATAAACTGAACCCTTCCAATGAAGAAAAAAAATTATAGCAGGGAAAAAGTTGAGTATATCTGATATGTTCAGTAGTTCTTTTAAAACTAAATCCTTAGGACTGAGGGTCATACCATGCTGTTGTTCATCATATCTGAAAAATTATGCCCAGGCACAACATTTTTCTTGTTGGATAAAATCTTTTCACCAGGATAAAATCGTTGCTGCTTACAACTACATTTTTTTATCAGATTTATTCTACCAATGGGGAGATGTTATATGCAGCTGCTGATAGGGAAGGAAAAAAAAAAATAAGGTTTTATCTGGATGGTGACAGCTTCTGTCAGTGCCTGTATTTTATCAGCAGTAAAATATCTGCCTCAAAAAGTTGCATGTCTGAGACCCCTCCAAAAACAACCCACTCCCAACCTTGGTCCTGCCTCACTCCCCATTTGTCTATCAGAAGGGACAGAATATCACAAATTTGACAACTTTTGTCACAAAAAGTCACCACACAAGGGATTGAAATGGCCTCTCTCCTGGCCCCATATGGTCTTTATTCCACAGAGAAGCAGAAATCTGATGGGAACTCCAGCCAGTCCATCTCCAGAGAGTTGGGAGTCTCCTGCAGCAGTGAGAATGTCCTGGCACCTCCCAGTCCTGCAGCTCTTTTTTACATCCCAAACTTCAGTGATGACAGTCCTGATTGCCAGCTACAAGGCTGTTCCCTTGCCACAAGTTCAGGGCATGAAATATTGACTGGAGGTGGATGAGAAATGCCTTTTAGCACCAGAGAAATTTTTTGTGATTTCAAAGGAAAATTTCCTCTCCAATCCTCCCCAAAACCTGAAGATAAAGACAAAAATTATACAACAGAAACAAATAGGGATACACACACCTTCCTTCAGCTCAGGTGAGTACAAGATGGATAATAAAGGTGAGAAATAAGATTAGTCTCTCACAGTTTTGCCAAAAAATAACTGTAAGAGTTGATGTAAATAACCAAGATTTATTGAAGCTGGATTTACAGGCTGCCCACCAGGTGAGTGACACCACAGGGACAGGAGAATGTGGGGCTGAGGAAGACACAAATTCTACTTTCAACCTCGGCATGAAGGCAGTTAAGAAGGAAACTTGATTAAGCCTGGAGGGAGACAACAAAAACACATTTCTACACCACCTCCTTCCACCCCAAACTCCATCAGGCTTGTGTCCTGGGGAGGAGGGTTTTATTTCTGTGTGTGAAAGTTTGGGAAGAGGACACAAACATCTTGGGATGGATGTGGCAGAGCTGTTGTCAGAGGGGGGAAGGGGAGCAGCCCTTGGAAAGGGATCTGGCTGACAGCAAGTTCCATTTGAGCCAGCAGCTCCCCACCTGGACTGAGAAACTATTTCTGGAGAATAAGAAGGGACACAAGTTCATTTTTCTCTGACCACTACACCATTCACACACACACTTCAAGCATCTGGAGCATCGCTGGGCTGTAGGGCCCTGGAGATGCCTTTGATATGAACAGCACCATTCACAAATTCCTTGTTACCTCCAGGTTTATAGGAGCACAGGTAAAACCAGTCTCACCTCTCTGAGCTAATTTTGTACTATGGACTGCAGGCAGTTCCAAGGAAATCTTCTGCAACCATGAAAAAAGA